AGAAGATAAAAAATGAAAATGAACCTCGCCGAGAGCATCTCCACTGACTTCTTGAGAGAGTCTCTTATCATAAAACGCACGGCTGCATCAATAAATATCAAAAGGTCAGTTGAACTAATAATCCATAGACCGTAAGTACAACACTTAAAACTATAATACTGACATCCGATGTAATATCAGAGTAACATCGTCAAACACCAATCAGAAGAAGAATAGTTCCGATAACCTATCATGAAATCTACAACGCGAATAACACGAAAAATGAAACGGAACAGCAAGGTTCTTACAGTTTCTGGTCATCGTCGATCTCGAGCTTCTTCTGGCAACCAGTGGTTGGATTCGCCACGTTAAACTGAAACACGGAAACAAGGAACACAATCAGCAGACAGACAAAACCAACGACAATCTCCTTGGCGCGCAGATACGTACCTTCATCTTCTCTCAGGTCGAGACTATAGCCACAAGAGAGAATAAAACGGCTTTGGTAATCCACGACGCTTAGGGTTTTCTACACTTCCCGCTATATATACGATAAAATTAAGGTTTATTTGGTCTTGTATTCTAATGGGCCATTTTATGGCCCATTATTGGCCCACTCAATTTTTTTTCCACAACCCACTTAATCTCTTTTCAAAGTTTGTGTATATTCTATCAAATAAAAAAATAAGATTTGGCAAACAAAATAAAACAGATTTATAGTTTTTTTAACTCAACAGAGTTATGGCTCCTACTCTTCAAACTAGGTTCATAGCTCCGCGCAAGCGCGGAGCCGGAGACAGTGATGATCCGTTATGATGTTTTATAAATGGGAATTTGTCATTTTTTTGGACATTTTTTTGTTTGGGGTTTAACCGAAAACCCGATTGAATTTAGTTGGTATATGAATGAGTGAAAATTCATATGCTTTGAAATATTCATATATTATTTTAATCATGATTTTCTCGAATATTTGTGTTATTAGTGCTTTTATGTCTAGGATGGGTGATTTATTATGTTGTTATTGTCTAATTTGTAGGTTGGTAGTATATTATTGTTAAATAGTGAATTAGCATTTAAAAATAATTAGGATTTTATTAAATTATACAAAGAAATATAGTTTAATGGATTGAAGAGAAAAAGATGAAACATGTTTGTTAAGGGGTTGTGTGGAATATTTAGAGATCAATATTTATTAGTGAGTAAAGACCTGTTTTTATTTACAGATAAGAGTGTTTGACGAATTTATATGTGTTCGTATTTCTACATTTTTTTACGAATTAATTGGATCTTAATGTTATTAGTGAGTTAATAACCATATGTAACCAAATATAGGTATTTGTTACTATACAACTATAATATGGGAACGAAAAAGAAATAATTTTGTTATTCGAAAAGAAATATAGTTTGTTGTTTTCAATGTGCCATGACATGTTTTGAAAATATATAAATGTAGTTTAATAAATGCTAAGGCTTCGTATAATTATATACATGTATGACTAAGATAGTTATTTTTTTTATATTTGTCAAAAATATTTTGTGGTAGTTTAAAAATGGGAATGGTAGATTAAAAAGTTTAGTCGTATAGGATTATATTCGAACACAATGAAAATGTAGTAGCTGGGTTTTAAATTATTGGACGATATTTGATGAGTCTTGAGTCTCAATTTAGATCTGAAACTGGATTGTTTACTCGCCCTTTTTGTTTCTCCTCGTCATCTTCAGTAGTGTGACAAGCTCTTGTGATTCTTGGTCTGATTGTGTTTTTAGTGTGTCATTTTGTGAAATTATGGTTTTTCTATAGCAACATGGAAGAGAGATTAGCTCACCTTAGTTAAGGCTGTCTCCATCACATTCCTTACTCAGTGAACCTCTGTTGATTTGGTGTTCTCGGAACCTGCAATAAGAAGGTTTGAATTTGTTGTATGACTTTATTTCTATTATTATTAGTTTCGTTTACTAAAACCCATACTGAATGATTTGAGGTTCTATATGTTAATTTGGTTGGTATGGCTTATGTTTACTTTAACATCACAGAGAGACTTGAAGGCTGCATGACGGATGCCGGTGACGCTAGTTTTACGAACTGGAAAAGGAGAAAGAGACATTTTCTAGAAGATGGTTAAAGTTAAGAGGAATAGATAAGTTTTGTGGAGATGCACATAGGGTTCATCAAAGATGAGAATCATATATATATGATTTACAGAGGGGCTACAAATCAGGAACATTTATGATCAAGCGATGTAAGATGGAGAGATGAAAAGTTCACCGGTGAAAAAAATAGATTACGAACAGACACACGACCCAACTCTATAACTCAGACCTGTATGAGACGATGGTGAAAGGAATCTTAACTCATTTTAAACATTAACGGTTTACAATATGGGAAAACTAAAACTGTAACTGTTGTAAACTTGAATATTTTCTTCATATAATATGATGAAGCTCAATTAAAAATGAAACTCATAATACACTTCCATGCCCGAACTTTAAAGGAGGCCATAGATGCAAAGGCTTCCGGCTAAATATATATTAGTTTCGGCCATCAATGTACAAGTTATCTTGTAGTTTAGTGGTATGAATGTTAGTGTTTGTTTCTTAATAACCCGGGTTCGAATCATATGTTTGATATTTTTTCACATTTTT